GAATTTCAAGAATTGGTATTGACAATCTTAATGTTCTAGGGACTACTAACAAATGCATACATGAGGATTTTTAAACAAGTGCATAATTTGAAGGTGTTAGAAATACGACATGATTAGCTAATTATGGTCTAAAGGTATGACAATTAAAGAAAATTACAAGGGTGATTGGAGTTAGGATGATGATCTTGGATGATTAAGCACTAATTGAATTCAAACGCTTTCTTATGGACAAGTGAAGCTACCAATGTTAAAGAGATATATAATGAAATATGGAATAGGGTAACCATGATGATGAATATAATGTAGTCAAATGCCAGAATAGGTGAAATGGAAAACATATGTATTCTTTTATCAATATTGGAAGATATTTGAATGTTCAAGAGAATCATATTGTATATTGGCATGGTGATGATTTGAAAGAAGTAATCATCATCCGAGTTAGAGGCTCATGGCAGATCAAATGCATATAAAATAAAGGAAAACCAATGACAATATGAGTATGTGATGGATGTAAGCAATGTTATGAGTGTAAGTATAGGTATGGTGTTGATGTAAGCAATGTTATGAGTGTTGGATATAAAGTAAGTTGATCGGAGCTTAGAACTTGAAAAACATAGCATGAAATATTGTGGTGAGTCATGAGTACGAGTTTATGGATTAACTAAAATATTATGGGGACCAAGGACATTGCTGATTTTTGTCAGATGTATTGGCAATAACCAATGTTTTGGGACAAGTTGGAAGATCCAATCCTAATGAAATTAAGGGAACTCGGTGACACTTATGAGTAGGCATTCGATGTTAGCAGCGTTACGAGTGTAGCAAATCTCTGAGGATATTATAACAATCTAAGAAACGTGAAGAGTAAATGTTTGGATGTTTGCAATCTTATTGTTATACCCTGGGGTCAACAGGTCTATATGTTTGGTCAATAAGTCAATAGAAGGAGGTACTGTAAATAGGGGAGGGGTCTAGAGGAAAAGGGCATTTTGATTTCTAAACACTAGATTGAGCGGGAACACTTAGGGGAGCGATCTCAGGCCTCTAGAAAGCCTGACGAATTCTGTAAAGCATGCTATTAATACAAACAGCCGACCAATTCCAGTTATGAGTTATATGGGTGTGATATAAGATAAGGTGAACCTTGTGAATAGTAGTGCATCAAAGTATTGTTGTGAACCATGAGATTATTGAATATGCTATATTATTGCAGTTGATGGTAATTAAGGGTATTGCATATTTTCCTAGGACAAGTAGGAAGATCCTCGATCTTATGAAGTTAAGAGAAATCAATGACATCAATAAGTATATGCTGGATGTTAAAGCTATAATGAGTGTACCACATAGATAAGTATTGTTGTGAATCATGAGATTATTGTGTATGCTAGAAGACAACTGTATTACCAGGAACTTGACAATGTGGTTGACAAGACTTGGAGACGATCAAAGAATGCATGAATTTCCTGATAATTATGAGGTTTACGTTGTTATGGAGATAGTTTATGTAAGTAATAAGCTTTATGAAGTAGGCCACAACCTTTGCCTTTAAATACGAAAAGGTCATTATTGATTTTTGGTCAGGCCCAATTACGTCAATTGAGAATATGCATGTCTTGGATCTAGGAAAGATGACTAAACAATACTTTGGGAAGTAT